AGATGCTGATGCTTTCATATTTCAGGTGAAAAATATAATCCCTCCAACATTTTCTAGGTGTGCCCCACAGTCTCCTCCTAGTTGAATATGCCTCCACAGAGAAGCCTCCTACTGGGAAATTGGTCAGATGCCCAAAACAACTCAATAGGATCCTTTAGATGCAAATATAGACACGTTGAAAGACTTTCAAAATAATACTCATAATGCAAATTGTGGGAACCATGTCTATAACTATAAAAACAAGTAGTCTGAGCAGTAAAGAGCTCAAGGCAAAGAAATACTGGAATATTTGAAATACTATGAGGATAGCTGATAGAACAGGTGATGTGAAAAGGAGGACTATTTTTTTCTGAGAAATCTGATCAATGTTTTTCATTTGAAGTGGGTACGTCCTTATCAATAGTCCCAAAGAGGTAAAGTATTTAAAAAAGCAATCAGGCAAAATTGTAGATAGCTGAGAGAGAAAGAGATGTGAAAAGTAAGGGGGAAGTTAGAACATAAAGCTGCATGCTGCGGGAGCTGTGATGCGTGGGGTGTTACTGTACCTCTGTTGCCAGTGACTGTGGGGTCTGAGGCGTGGGTGTTTAACTGAGCTGTAGGATCTGGAGGGATGGGATGTAGGGGGGAAGTGGTGGATGGAGGCAGGGTGGTGGGGGCTTCTGGTAGACGGCACAGACAGATATATATGCACAGAAATATTACAACAACAACAACAAAAAATGAATTCACACAGAAAAGTGATGCTTCGAACAACAAAAACGAACAATGTAGGAGATTCGAGTTTCCTGTTGTTAAAGACGTCCTACACCTGCATTACTACCAACTATTCAGTGTTTGGCTACACGTTTGTTATTTAAGTTAGGGCAATTGTTAATGATTAATGGAAAATATAATTGTAACAAATTGCATCTCTGCTCCTAAAAGCAAGACTTTTTTCACTAATCCTTTTAAGATGAAGCGATTTTGTTCTCCCCTTTGAAAACTCAAAGAATAAGATTGAGGCTGGAGAGCTGGTAAATACAGAACAATGTTGGATGAAATTACAGGTAAACTAATGTTGTGATGATTTAAATTCACATCACTTACATTGTGTTCTGTCTCAGTATTCTAAAGCAAACATTGCAGAGGCAGAATTGCCTTGATGTTTATGTTCTGTAACATCACAAACGAGTCACAGCTAGCGAGTTTGCTGCCAGCTCTTAAAATGTGTAATTTGCTAAGCTTTGGCTCCATGTCTGAATGTCTTCAACCCAGTCTCACAGCTAAATATACAACTGAATAGATTGATTTGTATGCAATTTGAAGACAAATTGCACACAATTTCACACATTCTGAAACATACTTCATTTAGTTCTGAGAAAAAAATCTCTATTCTATCACAGATCATGGTATAGTGTCTTATATGGCTTTCTTTTGATTGCACCACATAACAAACACAATACAACAACACACTGTGTTTTCACAGCTGTACACACCAACATACGTCTCTGTTTTCTAACTATCATAATCCATCGTACAATCCACAATACAAACAATAGATATCTCATGAATAACATATTCTATTTAGTTTCCTGTTTTGTCACTTCTTCCCATTTAGCTGTAAGACTGGGCTAATGTTTGAATGATTTCACGTGATGACAGAAGACAAAGTTCAAGGTGCTTTGAACAGTGAAAGTAAAATTAACTGATTTAGGAAATAAAAATCTATACTGTACTCATGTAGCAGTGGGTTCATTGAGAGTATTGAGTAGATAATGAATGTATGTTAAGATTAAGCCTCAGGCACTCTGTCTTTTCTTAGCAATATGATTCAATATGCATGTCAAATGCAGGGGCCTCTTCCACAGCAAGAGAACAAAAGTCATTTTCCTTAATGCCGTCTTCTATCTCTGAAGACAGAAAGTGGGATTATACATGATTACATACAAGGAGGTGATTTGACAAATGATCTCTTACACACATTTCCAGCACTGGCTTTAGAAAAGGTAGTCAAGTCACCATTACCATGCTCTGTTTCAGACCTCTCACTGTAGGGTAACAGTATGGCTTCTTGCCAGGAAGCATTTCTCACTGTCACATGCTGGACCAAAAGGAAAAAAAGGAATTGAAACATTGTATGACCAAGTTAATGAGGTTACACTACCACCTTGGCTTTAATGTTTATGTCACTCTGCATTTTATGGTGAGCTAGAGGCTTTTAATTGGCTGTGGTAGTCTTTCTCAAGGCCAACCGTCCTCTGTGTCTTGGTGACATTTCAGCGTGACTCACGGAGCAGCTAACTGCGTGTCTGGAGGAAATAGGGAAGAGAGAAAACGTCTCCCTGTTGGAGGGGGACCATTAAAAAGGTATTTTTCAAGAATTATGGAGGCAGTTGTAAAAGGCTAAAAGGTGTGCTAATCACTAATGAAGGATAGAAACAGACTCTGTGCCATTTGAGGCGAACGAGTAATGAATCTGAATAGGACTCTTTGACCCTGCGTACCCAGCAGCCTTTTTTGCGGTGCAGAATTTGTCAGTTTAATATCATTGCCGTCATTATGTGCATTGGTTTTTCTTGCTTTTAGCTTCAGCTGGCATTTGAAGGAATTGTTAGGCGCAGGCACATACCACCGTATGGGTTAGAAGTGCATTAATTAGAATAGAGCTGTAACAATTAGTCAATTAGTCAAAGGAAAATGAATTCACTTTTTAATTAAGGGGTTTCGGGTAGAGTGCTGTAAATAGAAAAAATGAAAAAATACATGTAAGTGTGCTTTTGAAGATGGATAACCAGCCCTGCTCTCTTGCTTTCCTCTATCTGAGGCTTCACATCTCCTACTTTGATAAAGCTCAAACACTGGAATTAAATCTGAGGTGAAAACCATCTTGATGGTATACACAATTAACCAAGCCTGACGCTATTTTAGTGGCTTTGAATTCTTAGAAGGAAGCTTTTACAGACTTCCTCTGTACCAGACATGTAAAAATCATCACTACATCATGTAAAATCATGTAGCCAATGACTTCTGAAGTCTATTTGCATATTAGTAATAACACTGTGACAATAACTATCAACATATACTTTGAAACACCATTAGTAATTAGTTTTACAATGCTAGGATCTTCCTTTGTATTTGGCTTCTTCTAAAGCATTTTAATTCCACCTCTGTAATCACATTACAGAACACTAGGAGAATACATTACAAGCCGTTAACACGCTGTTCATTTGGAGGATGACATGACGGTATATTTCTTTGACATTTACAGTCTCGATTTGATTCATGGGTCTCTTAAAGCTCATGTCATTTGTGCAATGAGTTGAATAAAATTTCCTCCTGGAGAAATTAACGGCTGTTACGTATGACTTCTGTGTGTGCACCTTATGCTGTTCACAGGAATATTTGGTCTGTGATTTAGTGTGAAGTACTTTAATAGTACTTAGACAGCGTCTCACCTGCAGTGGTCAGCGTGCTCTCAGTTTGGGGGAACAGAAAACAGAAACAACCCACTTAAAAAAAAAGAGTTTCAAGCAAACACAATCATTTATGTTTAAGTTGTTTCTTCTTTCTTCTGCTGTCTCATAAACTTAGTATTAGATCTACATGAATTTGAAAGTTAATTATCCTCTGCGCTTTTCCGTGTCTGTAAGTAAAACCATTTTTCACTTGTAGATGGAAATGAATGTTGAGTTTGTTGAAAGTTAATTCAGACTTTGGATTCTCAAAAAGTAAGCTGACTGTTGTTGACTTCAGGTAAGACATTATCCACTTAAAGGTATCTCACAAAACCTCACAAACAAATCAACAAACATTCAAACAAAGTCAATCAAAGCAAGTTCATGCATATGTGTGCGGGAACACTGGCATCTCTTTGTACACAGAAATAGTTTATAAATCTAAGTACTTGTAGCTGCATCCTTATGTTGTCATAAATGCTAATAATTGCGGAAAGTACTTGCGGATCCTTGATTATGACAATCATTTGCATGAATGTAAGGTTACAATGTGAGAGAATTCACATTATAATAATTGTAGCTGCACGATACAAGAGGATAGTGCATTAACCTAAGGATTCTTTAACATTAAAATGACAAATTCAGAGGGTCATAGTTGTTTCTAAACTATGAATAGGAACCTTAGTTGCATTCCAATTAGTTTGTTCTGGCTACTACTGCAAATCCAGCGAGACCAGTCACAATCTGGAACTCTCTGTAAGCTCCAGCAAAGTGTAACTGAAGGCTGCTGATATTCCCTTATATTTTCCCTTACATTAAGCCTGTTTTTTAAAATACAATAACATATTAAACACGCTGAGTTGCATGGGTGCATGGATATCAATGGAACATTGATCTAATCCCTGTCTTTCTTTTCTGGTCATCATTTTAAACAGTTGGAAGTCTCCAAAAAAAGGACTACAGATGCTTCACTGTCCTCCTTACTCTTCTTGAATGTATTATTACTTAATGACAAGGGATAAATGATAGAAAAGAATCGGAAAGGAGAAAGAACAATCTGTTTTCCCTGACAGTGAGCTCCTTTATCCTCCACCTCTTTAGGCGTTACTAGGAATTACTTTTCCTGATATTCTTGACAACGCAGCACTAAATTCTGCCTCCCTCACACATTTACCTCCTGATGTGAGTGAGTGTGTGTATGTCGTCTGCATGTAGAAGATCTAGGACACGGGTTTATTTAAGGAAAGGCGTTGGTGGCATTTATGTCACCTGAGGCCCATATTTTTCCAGTCAGAGATGCTCACTAATCACTCTCACAGATAAAGTATGCAGATGTGGAATTATAATAATCCTGTTTTTTCCTACAGTGTCTGATACTTGCACTTGTGATGTTTATACTTTCTAATATTTTCTTATGTGTCTGAGTTGGATTCCAAGGTCTTCTCTTCTAAGTTTTATCCTCTTTTTTGTCAATGACGTTAGAAAATAAACTGTTGAAGATATCTTTGTTCATGTACCTCTGACAAACATTACGTGAAATGCGATTACCCACACATCAGCCTCGCCTCAGGACTCACCGTAGACATAGAGTACATATTCAGCACTGCTGGTCCCCAGGTGGTTGCTGGCTTCGCAGCGGTAAGTGCCGTTGTCTGTCTTGTTGAGTGAGGTAAAGGTGAGCTCCCTCCCCTCCACGATCATCCTGTCCAGGTCAGGAAGCTCACCTCCATCCTTTGTCCACATCACAGGATCTGGTCTGATGTTGAGCGACATGAGAGGAATATTGAAGCAAGGTTCCTGCACTGCATATGTGAAGCGCTAAAGGTGGATTTAGATAACTTACGATGGGTTTCCTTTGGACACACACTCCAGCTTCAGGTACTGGCCCTCCTGAGGAACTGCAAGGGAATGGACAATCTCCACCCGGGGAGCATCTAGAACAGAAAGTGCAGACTCAGAGGAAATTATATGAAACATATCAATAAGAAGATAATCATTCCTTTATTTTCTTGATATTATTAATTATTCAATATCCTAGTATAAGTTTAAATATCCAAAAGGCAAAAATGGTTCCTACATCTGAGCAACATGTGAATAATGTGATTCAACTAATAATTCAGATTAATAGTTAATTAACTGTTAATTTGAATGAATATGAATATGATGGATAAAGAACATTTTCCACAGTGCTCTCATTTGGCTGCATACCACCTACATGCATTCTGTAGCCAGGTTGACCTCTTTACCTAGTACATCTGTATTAGTTACTTCTTTGAATTATTGTTCCTTTTCCCTCATGTCTGCGGGCTTATGTATGTATTCAATTATTTGCACATTGTGTGTACACTCACAATGGACTTCCAGTACTTCAGTGGCTTGCTGTGGTGCCTGTGTGAGTGCCACATGGTCCACTCTACAGGTGTAGGCCACTCCATCATCATTTCTGTCCACGTGCAGCTGCAGAGAGCTCCGCACTGTGAATGTCTTCCCACTCGCATTTACCTCTTTGGCACCTTTGAAAAGAGTTACAGACTGTCACCAAAGCAGCACACGCATCTTTTGAGACATCAAAGTATGCCCATTTTATTCCACAGTTCAGTTAAAAGCTCCTTTACATCCACTGTCACAGCCAGACTTTCCAAGGTCTTTCACTCACAGACTGCAGACAAAGGCCTATCAAACAATGAAAGTAATTTCACAGCATCTTTAACACACATATTTAGTTAGATGCTAAACACGACATATTTTATGAAAGTACATTTTGGCTATGTGAATAATTAGGTTGGTTAAAAGTTGTCTTAAAAGTAATGCCCAGTCTGCCAGCCATATTTTCTGATGCATGGCATGCTCTGTAGTTTCTCTGTGCATTGCTCTTAGGTATATTTGGAAATATTGTGCATACCAATATGGAAAAACATAACACACAAACTAATGACAGTCTAGGCTCCCAATGACTTTTTTCGCATTGCAAATGTGTTGCCCATGTAATTTAGTATGCATATTCCTGGATGTACCTCCAGTCTGCCTTTTCTTGGCAGGGATTCAATTAATTTAATATGCTTGTTGAAACTGTAGACCTTTTTTTGATCACATGAAACCTGAGCTTTTATGACTCCTCTCTCCCCCCCTCCCTCTGCTCTTACTCTCTCAACAGATATTTCCATCCCTTTTCCAAAAATTGCTTTCCCGAACAAGCACTTGGCCTGTGGCAAAGGATCATTATCCCTCTTTATCTGACCAATTTACTGTCAGAGCTTTCCTGGCAACACCTGTCTTGAATTCTGACCAAACGGTTGATGCTCCTCTCAGTGTCCATCCACCCACCAATTATTGCCAAGGCTGTGCGAAACCCCACCAGTCTGCTTTTCTAAAATGTTGTGCCTAATGTCCTAAAGTTTGGCATATGTCTCATTTACATCTGTCTACTTATTGCTTCATTTGTCTCTTTTACTGTGTCGGATTCAAATGGAATAATATGTGTTACATTAAGGTGTCATGACCTCCTTTTGTCCAACTGGAAAGACAAATATTGGAATCCTGCACCCCTGTCTAGTTCCATATCTCCTCTAATAATCTCTAGTATTCTGTTTTCCTTTTGTTGTAATTTACAGTTGGAGAAACACTATATCTGTGACGTGCCCTCTCACAATCCATGGCTACATAATTCCAGGGGCTGTACCTGCTTTAGGCCAAAAGTTCCGTCAGTTTCTGAGCTTCTGTCATCTCACTAATGTGACACTCTTATCTTCAAAACTAAGAAACACTAGTTAAACTACGTTCAGTACTGCAAATGCAACGTCCCCTTTTCTGGACTTTATACTGCATGTCACAGAAAAGTCAAAGTGTAAGCACACAGTGTGAGCGAAGTGTTTCTCATCTCGACTGTTTTTGTTTGTCTCTCCTGAAGAGACTATTTACGCTGCGTGTCCTCCTCTCCTCTTGGCTCAACTGCCCCACTGTCTCAGCTCGTACTCTCACTTCTGCCAGTCAACCGCTCAGCCCAGCCGCTTTCACCAACTGAAGAAATGAGGCCCCCTCCCCAAGAGATGAATGACTGACAGGCCTGCAGTGTTAGCAGCATCCATCCAATCAGCGAGAGAAAGGGAAAATGGATAGATTTCCTCACAGCGATGAACAACACAAGACGGAGGAGAGTGGCAAAGAGAGGGGGACAGAGTGGGAGGACAGGAATGTCTAATAGCTGATATTCAAGAAATGCCTCTGGAAAAGCAAAAATGTTCCAATCATTTTTATAAGTTATGCTAGCTCTACAAAGGCTGATTCTTCATTAAGTTTCTGTGTCTTCATCAGTCTGACTTCCCCCTCTATTCAAACCACCTTTTTTATTGTTACCTTTAAGGTCAGTTTCAGGGTTATTGTGTGGTTCATGTAACCCTTTGATCAAACAAAAGGTAATTATATTAGAAAGGCCTAATGGTCATGCTTAGTGTGAAATATTGGAAATAAATGTAATTTACTGGACTTTAAAGTCTTTAAAAAACATCTTATCACATTTTAAACAGCTGACACTGAATTGTTGTTAAAGCTCAGGCTTGCAGATAAAAATCATACATAGACATGTGTGCCTAATTCACTTGAATAAACAAAGATAAAGAGAAGGCGAAAGCATTTACTTGTTTTGAGGACTTTTGCGTACTCTATATGAGAGACCTCATATATCAGTATACGACCAGCTATTTTATCTTGGCAGGATTATGGCCTATTTGAGTCCTCGGGAGTGCTCGGGAAATGCATTCTGAATTATTTTTGAAAAACTACCACAATGGTAGGACATGAGTAAAAGTGTACACAACTAAGTGTTGAGATACATAAACATTTAAGCCTGATATAAAAATCATGCTAAAATGTCTGCTACACAAAAAGTTTAAAGGGAATCTATCTAGATCACAAGAGAGGTTCCAACTCATGCATGACATGTTTTTTTTTCTTTGTCTTTATTTGAATGATTTGTTTTTAATTTCTATAACTACTTCCTTCAAGCTAAGCTAACAGTGGCACATTTTAAATGCACATCAAAATAAATCTTGTGGAAAGCTTTGTTGACATATCCCAATTTGCCTTGGGATTATCGCTTTACAAACTCCGGAGATCAAAACAACTGGCTGCTGAACAAGTGTCACTATGTAATGCGTTCGGAGAGGGAACGGGTTGGTAGAAAAAAAGATGTCCCAGAAAAAATGGGATTTTACGAAGTAGTTCAACAACAGAAAAATATATACATTGTTGTGACCTTCAGACTTCAAACAGTGTAAAATAAAACCTAGACACATAGTCAAACTTTCATTTCGCTGCAGGAGATCAGGGACATAACATGAAAAGGAAATATACATACACAAGCACGGCCGACATATGATGCCACCTTCTTAGACCTGAGGTTAATTGAGATACTGAATTTTTCTGGGTTGTAAAAGAGACTGGCACCATCGATGGTAGAATCTGTGATATTGTAGAGATGCAACAATGCCCTATGGATGGATAACTTGTGTGTCCAGAAATTCAGCAAAGATCACAAAAAGGAATTGTTTACCAGAGTACTTACTTTCAATATAGAATCTTGTGTCAATTTTATACCAAATCTTAAAAGTATTACAGAAGCATTGCTCTGTTTAGCCTGTCTGCCGACAGTCCAGACATTTAACCCAGCAGTTGCTTAATCATACAAACACAAATCTGACCCATTTTATTATACATTTTATGCAGCATTTAGAAAACTTCCCAATCAATACTGCCTTTGAAACTTAAGTGTTTCTACTTTTTAAAAAACATAAAACTAAATCATAATTGTAAAACATACAACTTATTTAGATTTTTATAAAGATACATACGCATTAATCCTATATAGTCTACTCGGGTTATGAGACAGTCAGCATGTGCAAACAAACAAAAGAGAAGCAGTGGGAGCAGTGGGAAATAAATACAAAGGCTCCCATCAGGCCATATTCACCTTTGGTATCTCTCTTTCACAAAAAAACTGGTAGTATTTGGCAGGGACTACAGCATGCTGTTCTGTGAGTGGGAGTTCTGCACCACTGATGTGAGCCAAGACACTGGCTCAGAGGATTAGAAATGGAAATGACAGGCGTAAAATGTGGCAATCTGACCCTTTATGCCATTTCACAAGGGAAAAGGACAACCCAAGAATAGGAAATGAGTGGACAAGACAACAGAAACAGAGGCACCATGTTGTTGATAATTCCTCCTACATCCTCCTGAGTTAGAACAGCAACAGTGCTGACTAACTCTGGCAGAGAGGGTCTGAAGGCTGACTCAACATACACTAAACAGCATTCTGTCTGAGATCTAAAAACATTTACTAAAGCCAGAGTAATGCAAAACCAGCTGTTTGTACAGTTAGAATAAGACTAAAACACATTGAGCAATATTAAAGATAAAATGCAATATTTATGAAGCTTAGACTGTTAGCAAGTTGTACCCTTCTTCCTCTGACTGAGCTCTCCTTGGCAAAGAATTTCAGTATTTCAGTTACTTTACTGTTCCTCATAGTTCATTTGAAGCATTTATTGCGCTATATTTCCGCTGCTTGTAAACCTCTTGATGGATTTTCACAAATATCCACTCATATACTTATTATCTTGCTATTTACTTTCATATCTAAACTACTCACTTTAGGTTTGAACTCATATATGAATTTCTGACAAGTCAGTTAAGATCATCATGAAACACAGTCAGATATGTTTGTAAATCTACAGGAAATATCCCACGTTCTAGTTTAATGGATGCGTGACAGACCTATTACAACAACCCGGGAGCACTGCGGGATACTGGGTTTTCATCATTGCCAGGAAGACTTGTGTTATAATGTCCTCCCTGACATGGGAACCTTTGAGCAATCGCAGCTTCGGAGTGTCTGCTGTGGATTCATGAGGATAGCTTTTCACCCCAAAATGAAAGGGCTGGTCAGCCTTGGTGCTCTGGCATTAAAAATGGACAGGTGGCCCACCTCCATGATGTTGCTCTTAAGTGGCATAGACAGCAGGCTGATCCTCCACTTCTGTGCTCAAGGCTATGTCTCTTAACCTGCTCACAGTTATTTTACCAGAGACAGGATATTTCATGAGCACCTCTACATGGGTGTATTTAATCCGTATGTCATAGGTTTATGGGAGGAATAATGGCTGGACTTAAGAGACTTCTACTTCCAAATCTCACAAATGTATCTTAAATACATTGGAATGAGAAAGAAAAAGAAATCTAAGAGGGATCCAAAGATCTTCTTTGAGATAGTTGCTCAACCAAACTGGCACACGTGCTTTCATGTGATGCAGTATGCAAGAGCCCCAGGACTGTCTATTTTACCTTAAGACCACTGATTTATATTTTCTTTTGCCAATTGGTTAATCCTCTGGAGCCTGCGTGGTTCCTTTAAACACCTGGACTCATAACATTGGAGCTATAAAAGGCCCAGCCCACAGCAACCTCTCTCCTCTGCCGTCCTTACCCTGCCATGGTCACCCCTTAATTTACTGTTTGTTTGTTTCATTTATCCTTTTTCTAAGATCATATTATATTTATCATGCGTACTCACACTGCTGATCCCCTCGTGTTCAGATTTTTATTATCCACAGCTTCTTTGTTGAGGAAGCAAAATGATCTTGCTGGCCTTTTGTGTGTTTACTGGTTTTTTTTGTGTGGGAGCGTACTAAGCTGGGTCGTGACAGTTTGTAATTAGATAGTGGGGTTTGTCCAGTTCTTGGAAATGTGTTCCTTGTACTGTTATGTTTAAAAAATCCAACAGTAAGTGAAAGCAGCAGTTAAGGGTTGTGATATTGTTGTACGTTGGTATCAATGTCATGACCCTCCTTCCCTCAACACCCCATTCTTGTTCAGTAGATGTTCTTGGACAAAATCATTTAAGAAGAACCACTTCTTTGTTCTGGAAATACGCATATGAGTTGCATTTCCCTTCTGTCATTTCCGGGCACTACTTTCCAGGTACAGGGTATGATAAAACAACATATATGGCCATTTCGGTTGGACGAGCTGCTGGGATGGAAAGGGTGAATATGTATTTTTGTGTGTGTAACTTTGGCATCTTTTATTCATGCCACTGTGACTCACCGGAGCCATCTTGAAATTACATCTTTAATGGTCATTGATCTCCTCCACCTCAGGGAGCTGGGTCGTATAAATGTAATCCCAACACTGACTTTTTTAGCAGTGTGCAAGCCAGGTTGTCAAACACTGCCAAAGTTGCTGAAAATGTATTTTACTTCTTTAAAACTTCTTTAAAATCCCAACTTCAATTCTTATTTTAGTGTTCACTATGTCACTGGCAGTCTTGTCAGCCTCAGCATCATCCTCTTTCAAAGATGCTTAAGGAGCTTTCTCCTAGTTACTCTCCACCATAAATCCTTCTGGGATGAGGCTTAGAATAAGAACAGCCACCTTATTCTATTCTTAGTCACAGTAGCCTAGGACTACTGCCCGAAACTGAAAAAAAACACAGCCAGCACTCTTTCAAAAGGTTGTTCAGTCTCTGTTTATCCCTTCCTGCAGACAGTGATAGAAGACAATGCCCTTAAATATTGTAAGGTATGTCTGCATAAATAGTTCTTTGTCCTGACTTACAAGTTTGAAATATCAGAATGTGACCATAGGCACATCTGAATCAAATATCAGTTTTTTTTAATCAAGCCCTCTTGGAATAGAGCTGCTGTGTAACATGATGAAGCAATAACCTCCACAGTTTAGGTCAGAGAGTATGATAATTCTAGCCTTATAGTAAAGATCCCCTCCCTTATTTGTAATAAATATTCATTTCATCTCTGTCTTGCTCGGTCTCCACACTGCTCCCTCTGGTTCACTGGTGTGTAAACAACTCCTACATGTGGTGATATTGGAGGAGGTCTCTATGGGTTATGGTGTGTAACTGAGATAGAAATATATCATTACTGGGAGGGGACTGAGGGGATCTGAGGGACAAAGAGACTGAGAAATAAGAATATTGAATTCCATTCCACACACAGAAGCTTATGTCCTAACATGCAGTCTGTCTGCTCCATCTGTCTGTTTTGCTCACGCAAATACACACACACACACAAACACACACACATTTACGTCGATATAGACACACACACACACACATCCACACAGACACTTAGCATAGGGTGTCTGTTAACTGCAGCAAATGGGTGATGGACTGCTCCGGTGGCTCTGCTGGTAATATAATCTTCTCTATTTCCCCAGATCCCACACCAATATGTCACAATTGTCATTTATTCCCAGCATGGCTGCCCCTCAATCAGATGGCTTTTCAAATCGAACACCCCCTGATCGTGTCAGGATGATGAACACTTCAAGTGTATTCCTCTTGCAGCTACACATGCAGACATATATTGGCATATTAACGTGTGCTACCCTCTGTGAATACTTGTTTTTTTTTCTCTTGTTTGTCATGCCAACTTTGATTGAGATCTCTGACTGTAAGAAAGTGGTTTAAAGCTGGAAAGGTTTCCTTTTTCTAATATAAACTCAATGCACATGTGCACATATAATTACACAAAAATAACTTTCTGTTGGTTTCACATCTAGCAAGTTAGACTGACAGCAGTCAGATGGTAATTCACACCTTATTTCAGTAATAAAAGTGCAGTAATTAGTAGCAGGAATGTATTGGTGGTTTAAAAAAGGAGAATTTTAAGTGAAAATGTGTGTGCCAATCGCAGTCCTGACAGAAAAGCTTTTCTTTGAGTAAACAAGGACTGCCTGTTTTTGATACATGCAAGACACAAAGCATCAGGCTGATAATTGGTGACTCAAAAAGACCTCCAATTATTTCAGAGATCAAAGCTGCCTTTGCTTTGGAAATTTTCAGGCCGATGATTGTTTTATTTAGTTGTTCTTGGGAAAAATAAAAAAGATTACAATGAAAAGGTCAGCCATTAGTCAAACATAAAAATGCTCATGAGTTCAGTTTGATTAGATCCTGAATTGTGGGATATTACAAATTGAGGAGTAACGTTAATTTTTTCCGGACCCAAGTGGTGAGATTAACAATTATTTTTCAGCAAAGAGGATGTTCTCTGCAAGTCTCAATAAGCATGATCCCTTTTCTTCAAAATAATCCACTGTGTAATTAGAATAAAAGATGACAGTGATACCAGCAGAAAACTGTGTGGAAGGACAGGATTGATTTAGGTTATCTCTTTGCTTATCTGGATATCGGGAAAGCCTAATACCAGACAGGAAGCTGAGCTGTCTGGATTTAAGCGTGAACAGAAAGAGTGTAATAGCTGATTCTGAGCGAACCTTTCAGTGAATTCAGCAAGTTAACGTCACTTCTGATTGAAATTCTGAACTTAATTTCAGGTTCTTCCATAATAAGTTTTACAGAATTCTGAAATAAAAGGCACATTTTTATTTTGGAGGCCATTAACACACAATGTTATATAAATCTTTTTACACAATCGCACTAATTATATACTAATTGTTGGAGTCTTGGGAAAGGAATGTGTCCTCTCAACTGCTAGTTGAGAGGACACAGTCCATGATTGTTGTTGTCTGAGTCTGCTTGTCATAATAATCTTTTTTCATTCTTGAAAGGAGACATAGCTTGACTGCAGCTAGGCCCAATTAGCACATTCTGTTTATGAAGCAACAGTGTTTGAAGTTGATTAGAATAAGGGCAAAGCTGTCCGACTCAAATAATCACTTATCTCCCTGGAAAAGACATTCACTGGTGGTTGTGTCTCTTTCCAAAATTCCAGTGTCTGCTCGAGCATTGTGCTGATGCATCTGTGCACACATTTGGAGGTTATTCATGCCACTATGCATATATGTATATATATATATATATATATATATATGTGTGTGTGTGTAAATACACTCTGTCAGTGAAAAAATGTTTTAATTATATCGAATATTGAATGTCAAAGCCATACATCAGTGTTAATTAGCATTATAACTGAAAGAATATTAGTAGTAAGCATGCTGGCTCAGTGCTGCTTGGCAATAAAACCTGTTATTTTTTAGGTGAATGATATGTTAAATCAGTTGTCATGGAAACATCTATTGGAAAAGATGGACATAAAAGCTCTTGTGAAAACTTATACTTACATGAAATGGATTAAGCATAGAATAATTGTGTCAGATAACTAAAAGAGTTGATTTAATCTGTCTAAATACAAAGTAAAGCATTAAAATGTGAAGTTAATGAAGACTGTAGTTCATTAATCTATTTTATGAGATAAGAAATAAAAAAACACCAATCTGCGTAGTGTTTGTTTTACTACAATTAATTATGCATCTAGCATTTGAGACACATGTATGCTTGTTGTTCTCAATTCCTGAGTTGCAGAGATCTGTTAGGAGAGCCTTTAAAATAATCTTTTCATGTGACTGGATTTTTCAAGAAATTAATAAAACATCCACCTGATAAAGCACTTATTCTTACCAGGGACACATGGGGGTTGGGCTCTACACTGGCTGTCAGTGAGCGAGAGGCCGGATGCACACTGGACAGGTCGTTAGTCCATCACAGGACCACACAAAGACAGCAACCTCACACACTCAGTCTGCGGGGCAATTTCCAAGAATCAATTAGCCTACCATGCATGTTTTCGAATGGTGGGAAGAAGCTGAGGTATCCAGAGAGATCCCACACATACGAGTGAATTTTTTAAGCCATATTTGAAGACTTCTGTGACAAAATGGGGGGGAACTTTAGCAAACTGTGAGGATGATCTGCGACAGTTTGTCCAGCTGGCTTTTACATTTAATTTAATTCTGTAACACACCTGTGTCTTTCTTTGAAATCTCATCATCTTTTGGTCTCGTCTCATGTTTCTTTCTCTTAATTGTCCTTTGATGTTATCACGGCTGTCTTAAAGTTAAAACCGAGCAGGACCAAAGCGCAAAGGAGGTGTATGGTCCATTGTGTTAGATTTAGAGCAGCCCTTTGACACCAGGGAAAGCTAATGTATCTGTCACAGGCCTGATGACACGAGCAGAATGTGATCTATTACAAACACCCACTGATGCATCAGCTGCATCAGGTTCATGACACCAGCGTTTGACAAATCTCTTTTTACCCTTTGTCAGTGCATCTAAAAACAGAAGGAAAATCTTTTGTCTGCTTATCACAAAGTATGATCTAAATCAATCAGATTTTGCCCAGAATTCCCACAGCAAACAAAGTTGTACTGAGGTTGTTCTAAAGGGAAATAAAGCTATGTAGTGAATTATTTGCATATTTGAAGATGAATGATTATGATAACCAATCCTGTTCAAGCAGGACTGTTTGCTGAATATTTGCAGCTTTAAAAAGGGCTATTTGTTTTTTTGGTAAAGCAAATATTAGTTGTTCTGGTACCTCTGACGTCCTTCCATAGTTTCTCTTTTTATTGTTGTTCTCCATAACCTTCATTCTAACAAAGTGCTTGTTTGACATGACACTTGATGCCGGATGATTCAAAATGTCTGAAGGCAAAGTTGTGAGAGAGGTAAATAGAGATGCATATATTCACACACCTTTGACCTCCTTTTCATTCCGGAACCAGCGCAGGTCGGCGGCGGGCTTGCTGCCCTGAGTGATGCAGGTCAGAGTGATGTGGTCCCCCTCCATCGCGGGCTTTGTTAGGCCATCGATCTCTGGCTTCTTGGGCACACCTGTGTGATTGAATGGAAATCACAGCGATGGAAATAATTCAGACACAGCAGTATGTCATTATGCAACAATGATTCTGTTACGCCTTACTGGAAATTCTACTCCATCTAACCTGCCTGAAGAGAGATTAGAGAGTAAACTACAGAGCTTTTCTGAGCAGGGCCCTGCTCCAGCCCCTATCAGGGAAGACCCTCACTGGCACATCTTTGGATGGTTTCTCTTGGCTGTTCACATTGAGCAAAGCGTGTCCATAAATTAAATCTACTGGTACCTAGCTATTTACGTCATGGATTATTTTTCCATGTGCATCTGTCTCTTTTTCGACTCAATTATGATATCATTGAGAGTTATTGGAGCTCTGTTTATGATATTCATACATTTTGGTTTTAGAAAGTCCGAACGGCACCAATCACAGAAAAACACTAAGTTGAAAAACATGCTTTTGAACATGTGAACCAGTCAGGAACCAAAGAGGATACCATTAAATTACCCAGAAAATGTTAATTACTGGCCTTTCCTATAATGAGTCTTTTAAGTAACTTGTGTTTGGCTTTCTGTTGTCAATGAGCAATGCATCTGCCCCTGGCCGAGAGACTGAAAGGTCTGTCAGTCGATACCATTGACTGATGCTTGCTCTGTCTGTCTCACCACCTTATTTAGGTTTTATTAACAGAGCTGTCCCTTTGTGTAAAGTTACTAATTTGTATAAAGGTTAAAACCGCATACAATTTTCTGTATGCAGTCTCGTTAACCTCGGCTGACGCAGAGCTGCAAAGTTCAATGCCTCTTCTTTGTGTATGCCTGCGTATTGGTGTAAGTATAGATAGGTTCATAGGTTTCTGTGCTCATTTGTGGATCATGTGGATCATTATCTGTGCTATATTGAAATTGTCAAAGTGCAAGACAGCTTACATTTGATCAAAGAGCTTTTGACAGAACCAAACTAAGTTTGATTTATGATGTCTGGCGAAAACATGAAGCAAAGCCTGATCTCATGTCCTGTGGCCGCTGTGATTGTACTACTTTATATAAATATTACCAGGGATCATTAACTCTATTAGTGAGTTCTAATCTTTTCACATATCTACGGCTGAATCAAATGTAAGGCTGTGTTGATATGATTTTTTTAGCCGTGCTCTTTTAACTCCATAACTCTGTTATAAGAGTTTGCCAATAAGTCTGTCCATAAGTCTGTTTGCCAATCCACTTCTCTGATCATGGCTAAAATACCAGCCTGATTGCCAAAGTTTTTTATTCTTGTATTCATGCCCCCCTGCTTAATCAGTTCTCACAAAGATGATAAGTAGACTTCACTTGCAATACCACGGTGATGTTCACGTTTCTTGTTTGTCGTCTGACAGATCACAGTCACATTTATCATACATTAATCTTCTTGTCTGGATAATCCTCCTAAAATCGACCTTTCCTATTTGATTTATCTTTATTGTATGCATTTTAAATCACTTATACAAAGCTTTGATATCATTAGGTGATACAAAATGACATTTTTGTGTTTGTATTCTTAAAGCTTGGTGTTTTGTTCAGATTACTTTTACTTGTGTTGATTCGCAACATTCATGCAGTGGCAGATAAACCAGACAGTTCCCAGATCATTTTGCCTGATTATTAAATTGCCTTTTCTGTTTCCTGGCGTGCACCATTAACTATTGTTTGGCATTGCAAAATAATTTCTTCCATATCCTTATTGAGCAGTAGCCTTTAATGTCTCTAATTCTCGGAATGCTTGTTAACACAAAGAGCCAGATAATGGTCCTGGAGTGTACTAACACATCTATTAGCATTAGCGAAAACTAATTGGAAAGATAATAAGCCCAGTGGCAGGAAATGAGATTATGTTTGTGCGAGGCGATGGTCACAACACAAACACTAGTAAAAGGAGAGGAGCACTAACAGTGTGCTTTGATTTGTCTACAGCTGAAGGCAAAAGCAACAGCTTCTTTTTGACTATAGTAAAGTGAAATAAAACCAAATGAGAACACGAACAAAGGAAGAGGTCAACCAAGGTTGCAAAATTATTTGAGATAGCATCATAAATAAAGCTTACTGTATGTGTGGGTTCAATCAGGAAGATCTGTTTTCTCTTATTTACCCAAATAGAATGATAGGATAATGCGTCGTCAACATGTATTTTCATTACACGACAGTCCTGTCTAGTCTTTGCATTGGCCTTGACACCTGCACAGGGTTTACTGTTTCTTGACTGATGGCAGTTTAGATATTCTGCAGCTCCGAAGATAACCAGGATGAAGCAAATAATAAATGGATGATTTAGTTACTCAGGATTGCTGTGAATGTTAAGCCTCTTTTACCCCTAAAGGTGAAATCTTTTCCCAGCTTTGCTGATTTTCTTTTTAGTATATATATTTTTTGTGCAAAATACATATACTGGCAATGCACTCTGAGCTGAGCTTATGCTCCTATGGGCTCAGTAGAGCTGATGTACGGTATAGCTGTTTCAAAATCAAAAGCTTGACTTCTGCCTAAGATCCAGAAAATTGAAATTGACATTTTGTACCTTCTGTATTTTGAGCAATGTCATAGACAAAAATGATAGAAGAAAATTAGATTTTACCTGTATAGAAGCGTTTGAAGCCATGACTTATCATTTTACCACTTGTTTTCTGAACACTTTTCTAATCCGTGATTTAAAGTAACAACAATGTGGTGAAACTGGACAGACACAAATAAACTTACCTAAAACAGTGAGGTAGGCTTTTGCTGTTCGGACGGGCATGGTGAAGAGAGAGCAGGTGTACATTCCCTCATCGGAAAGCGTGACGTCGTTGATACTGATGGTCAACTCTGACCATGATGCATGCACAAGTTCAATCCTGTTGTCCCTTAAAGCTGCACACAAAGACAGACAGCAGATATTGGACTGACAGAAACACTACATATTTTATCATGGGTTTGAAAAAGGGAATATATTTTGAAAAATGAATTTTTGTGACATAACATAATAAGCCAAATGTGCCCACTTCATGTGTTATAACAATAATCTGGATTCTAGCAAAACAGAACTTTCTAAGCAGCAGCATGCTTCCACAGTAAAATATACAGCTACAATTTTCAGTGCTGGGAACAACAATAGATTTACCTATATGAAAATTTAATCTTCCAAACACATAACCAAATGGAAATCAATACTGCAATAATGGGCACAGACAGAGAAGCCTAACGAGAATTTGGCAAGGTGTGAAGGCTGAAATAGCTTAGCTGAGATTGAATGGCCAGTTTAAAAGTACTCTCTCAACTCTTCCAAAGACTCTTCAAACTCAACTTTATACTTTCTATCAGTGGTGCAGTGGGAGCAAGTGCTGCAATTCCATCGCAGAGGAGACACCTTGAAAACAGCAGGAATTGTGTGAGTTTATGTGCAACTGGTATGCTCTGAGCTATAAAACAAAACTACATGAAAGATGTGTTTGTATATATGAGAAAAAGGCTATGTGAGTTGTCGAGTGCTGAAAAATGCTGTCCGTGCTGTTTCTCTGGCCTTGGCTGCTCAAGAGATGCATTCAAGTCACCCTTTTCCACGAAAAAAGTCTGTGCGCACCGTGTTTAATATGAGCAGCCAAGGCTGCTTTGCTTTTAATCTCCATGAAAGTGACTCTGAGCTCTGTGCATTCAAGTACAGTGGGTGTCCACATGTGTGCCTGTCGGGCTACGTCTGTGTGGGTTCACATTTTTTTTAGCACAGATGCTTTACATTCACAGTCAAGGGATAATATTTAGATAATTTCATCATTTCAGTGAATTCATCCCATTTCTGAATAAATGTGAAAAGTAAAAAGCCATGAGACTGTCTGTATTCAGCGTACTTTGAAGATTAGCTTGCTCTTTTGAGAAACACTTCACGTGTCTAAAATGAATAACTCATAACAACATCCTGGTGCTTTCAGCTGAGTCACAGGAACTGCATATTGGCAGAAAACACCTTCATTTAATTATGGACTTTGTTAAATATGATAACCATAAAATCGTTGACTCTTTCAGATTAAATTCCGATTCACTGTCTCATTATAAAACCAAGCATAGGTGGATTCCTCCTGAAAACACTTTTTGAGCATTGTTCTATTATTTAGAAATATTTATGAAGACTGTTTTGAACATTGTTTTTGTAAACATTGTATGTTTTCTGTAATATTGTATAAGCAGTGTATTACAAAGATTCTACCTAGGTCATTATAGAAAAATTATGAGAAATATTCTTGGTCTCTCTGCATTTATCCCACTTTCAAAACACTGTTTTATTTAAAAAGAGTATTGTTTGTGCTCACAAAGATTTACCAAGGTTATTCTTTTGCCACGAGACATTCGCATCTGAAAAGTTGGTTTAAAAGAAAATAATGTTCTGTTTCACATGAGAAGCCCTGCAGACAGAGTGCGTTGCAAACCAGAGGTCTGAAAAGATTTCATTCAGAGCCAGAATAATTACAAAGCCACACAATTCTTCTGGAGAATATCACAAAAAGAAAAACAAAAAAGAAGAAAAGTCCCTGTTTCAACTGTCATTCCAACACTGAACCAGACAATCAATCCCAGCTTAGCAAAACAAAGCTCATGATCTCGATAGTAAAATTGAATTATTCCATCTTTTGTGAACTCAGTGCATTTTTGATCATATTAAATATATATTATGATATCAAATCTAGACACTGTTTGAGAGCTGCTTAAATTCTCTTCCGAAGCAGACTGGGTGGAGCCGATGGAAGTGGATGCTGTTGTACTGTACAGTACCTTTGTAACTGTCAGACCCTGTTAAATTTCAAGCCTGTCATGTCAATGTAAAAAGAGGTGTTCTGCATCATTTTTGTAGCATCTGCGAAAGTATGCTGCAGTGATCACAGCGCTGACAAATGCAGAGAAATGTCAGTGAGCACACTATCTCATGTCATTTGGTCTGCCAAGGGATGGGAAGCTCTGCTCTGCTGCTCGCAGCCTAAACACCTACAGTAAATGGCACCGGAGTTGTAATCAGTTTGACTAAACGACAGCTGCTCACTCTCATTTATTATTGCATTTGTTCTGTCCCTTCCTCTTCCTTGCAACGCTGGTTATCTCGGCGCGCCGTGCACTGAGCATGAGCAGGCGTCACTAGCTGATACAGTGTAGGCACATGACATATCTTTAGGCTTTACACCTGTGACAGTACATTTCTGTTTCTGTGTGCGTATGAGCACACATGGTTATCAATGCAAGAGACTGAATTAGTTTTAGTTGCATGCACCGCCAGCTCAGGTAATGGTAACACCTGCCCTGAGAAAATACAATAGTTATGCTCCATGCACTATGCATGTATACAAACAAAGATTATTTGAAATGATTCTAAACAAAAGGCTTGATATGCCTGTGTGAATGTCAATGTCTCTTCTCCTTCCCACCTTCAGACCTCCGATCTGCCAACCTGGGAATGTGTATAAGTTACCCAATTTTTTGATTCAGCTGTTATCTTACATGCTCTGGTCAATGAACTATGAACAGGCAAATGCCAGGAAATGCATTTACTGGCTCACTAGCTGCGGAAGGCGACCTTGCCTTCATCCTCCTCTCAACAGTTCTTTCTCAGAAGCAATGGGTGACACATCCAAATTCTGGGAAACATTCACATGTTCTGGTGTAGTGAAACAATTCAATGGCACCAAATATTCAGTGTCAGTAACTACTGGTGTTCACATTTACAATACAAATTACTACAATATAAATTCGATACAATTAAGAGCAGACAATAATAACAGTTTGGTTGCTCAAAATGAATTCATATACATTAATCAAATTAACTGGTCAAGGAAAGGCAGAAACACTTTGTTCCATGCCCAAGTGTTCTGCAATGCCTTTGGTTCTATAGTAAATAGGAATGTAATCTTGGAGCAGGTAAGAAAAAGCGCCATTGTATAAAGCGCCATTCATACATACTTCTGTCCAATGAGTATTGCACCGACTCTATGATCTTTTGACTCCTTTCAAAATAGATGAAGCGATTGTAACCATCTTCCTAAACTTGCTAGTATTAGTAGAGTCACATGCAACAGAAAAAAAAACAAAAACATCAGCAATAATTTCAGGCAGCAGGATGAGAGGTGTTAGAGTCTGCTCTAAACAGGTGTAAGCTGCTTTCTCACCAACTGCGCTATATTAGAATAAATGGCCAAAACTCCAAATGCCCACCCAGTTACAGCTCATTTGATGGACGCCGTTTAGATTGGAAAATTTTTATTGTTTTGTTATAATCAAAAGATGAAAACATTAGTTTTTGCTGTGCACATCAAAGAAAGCTAAAAAATAACCCAAAACCCACATTAGCATCTACATGCAGAGCACAGACTGGTGAACTATGTAAACAGCAAAGTGCAGTGGACTTGCGGTTACCTTGTCCTTCGCATAGTAACCTCTGTTCTGTCATTCTAGGCTGAAGGTTTGCACATAGACAGAGTGAGCAGAGAGGAGGTGCAGAAAAACCCAGCGATTTGTCCGTGTAGGTGCCTCAGCTGCCTGCCGTCCATTACCAACCATTAATGCTGACAGTCTTCAAAGTGTTCAAGGAGGACGGTGTTGTCAGCTTCAAAGAGTAGCAGATATGTGCTCTGCAATTACCACTTACTGAATGTACAACCGCATTTTTTAATGAATTTGTGTTTGTCTCTCCTTCAGACAGAGACAGAAATTGGTCACCATCAAAGTGAGATCTTTCTCTGCAACAAATGGTCAGTATACCTCTGTCTACTCGGCTGCTTGTTAGGTATGTGTGTGTCTATGTGTGCGAGCCGGTGACAGTTTGAAATGTTTCTGAATTTAAGTGGCTTAATCTCAGCAGCACCCGCACACGGCACCTCCAGATGACAACTGTAAGTTTGCCAGAGTCGATATAGCTTGCTTCAGAAGCCCACCAGAGCCAGCAAGATTTTCCATCTCATTGCAACGGCTGATGACCATTGGCTCACAGGAGCCGTCGGCGTGGAGGTTCCCTAAATGCAGCTAAGACCGATAAGATAACAGCTGAAAGTAAAAGGCTGTGACACCAAAGCCAACAGACTCTTTGTTCCAAAACCCAATGGGACAGAACAAAGTGGGAAAGTGTCAGCTATCTCTTTATGAACATCTAAAGAGGGGAAGCAGGGAGTCACGTCTTTGAAAAGGAAAACAGAAGCATAGAAAACCTGCATGGAGATAAGGTCAAAGAACATTTCTTTAAATTAAAAGTGACACACTCATTTTGAGGGGGCCCATTCTGACATCTGGGAGTTTCACTGGAATTGTGCAAGCATGCTGCTTAGGATATAATCGCAGTTGTGCTATAGAATAAGATAATAATGAACAAATTCAAACTCACTGAGAGAAATGATAGGATCTTAGGTCATTTCCAAAGACACTGTCCTCTTCTTGCCCTGCACCTAACCGACAGCTCATGTTATCCCTTTTTTTAAATCAGTTTTTTACATGTTTTTATTTGTCAGTCTACTGAAAATATGTTCTAATACTCTAATGCTAAGACATCTTTTGTATGTCATCTCAAATTGTGCATTTCTTGCCAATGTCTTTTCCCATTCTGTCTGAAATGACTAATTCAAGGGTCATTTCTATTTCAGGACCCCTTCAGTCATGTTCAGCCTGCTCTGATTGGGCAGCTGACAGATCAAAATGTGAAAAATCCTTCTTTGAAGCTTACAAGCGAGCAGGTAAGAGTTAGATATATCTCATGGCGCTGTTGTTCAGTCAAGGACAAGTTTCAGATGCAAACTGGTAATTTTCTCTTTGGCTTGAATGTAGGGTAATCAAAAGAAACCGAAGAGCAGTGATTGATATCTTTTTGCCCCTTGTTTTTTTCCTTGAGGACATTGAATTGCCTGGTTGTTTAACTGCACAACAAGAAGATGGTTT